CCGTTTGAAGTGGCTTGTATTTCTCTGAAGACGATTTGGGCAACCAGCCAATGCATAGGAAAACTACTAAAAATGGCTCTAGATGCCCTCCGTTTTGAGATTTCAACGCTCCGGAATATGATTTTTTATTGTAAAACGCTTCCTTGGGCGTTTCCACGAAACGCAAATTATTACTCTGACAGAGTATTACCCGCGGGCTTATTAATGATATTGTAGAATAATAAAAACGGCAAGAGAATATTCAACCGGAAGGAAACTCTTTTTCCAGGTGTGATTTGCAAGTATCGAATTTGAGTGATGAAAAATCTTGGTCAGCGCCAAAAGCTGTGAACTGCTTTTCAGCTGTACGCTTTAGACTACTATTAACTACACTTCTGACACATCGCATCGAACTGTTACATCTTTTACTTAAAGTAACATGAATAAGTATACGTTCTCTGATAAATTAATATATCGAAAAACCGCGATTAGGTGTTTGAAATATTATCGATTAAAGAATCGATAGCAGTCAGATCTCGGCGGGCTGATAACCTGACAGCTTAGAGACAAACGTTCAGACTGTATTGAGACCAGTTATGCTGCCTGCAGTAACTGTCTTACAAGAACTCAGTCTTTAGACGTTGACAGTAGACGGAAATGTTGTCGCAGTCTCCTTAAATGTATGCAAGAGAGTACGTTAAAGACTAATTTTATGAGCCTATTCACCTGTATGGCAAACTCAGTCTTTATATTGATAGATGGAGCAGTGGCATATACGTTAGGTGGCTGGATCAGGGGGCCCTAATTTTACCATCAACTAGGCCAACTTTAAAGGATTCCGTACTCAAACGGAACTGAGTTTTTTAAACTAGAGAACTTTCTTAAGTCCATCTTGGGTATTGATTGTGATTTTGGCCCTCCAGGTTGCCCAGTCCCTGATAAATCGAGCCCTGAACGCAGAACAGGCCTTCATGCATGAGATCGAACAACCACCAGTGGTCCTGGAATATACCTGCTCACCTCCGACAACTACTGGAAGCACCCTCTGGCCCAAGGGGCGACCCGTGGCAAACTCCAGTTTCCTCAGCCTCATGGAAACGGAGGCTGTTCACAAGGCCATTGCTGATCTCTCGCTCCATGAAGGAGTCGGTAGGTTTTGGTAGTGCATTCTTTGATTGCCCAAATAAACTCGCCGAAACAGGTCCTGATTTTAAAACAGACTGAGGATCCCTAATTACTGAGGAATAAACGGCAGGCACGGCGTGGCCACTTCTACAGGTCTAAATTTGTAAAAATATCAGTTTATGGAGTTGTAGCTTATGCTTTTCATAAAATCGCCGGGAATAAACGAAGAATGGTCCAAAGAGTGTAACTTATGGATAACTTTCCCCTATAAGTGTCTCTGAGAACTTAAGAGACAAACTGAGTTGGGAGCAAGCGGCGCAGAGTTGAACATAACAGTAAATTATTTTGGATATTTTCTCCAACATTATCTTTCCTTTTTTTTCTTCTTCTTCCTCTTCTTCTTCTTCTTCTTTCTTTCCCCATGGAAAATATTTTTCTTATGCTCGAACCTAGTACTTTTTTCTGTACAGTAGCTTAGTCCTATGCGACTGACGCTTCCGAGGAGCCTATTACTGTTCCTAGGCAACATTATTCGCTAGGTACCCCATGCTATTGTACCAGAGATGAAGTTAAAAGGGCCGAGGGGCATGAGACAGCGCCCATTTCGGTATCTGAAACACCACTGGATTCCAGAAAGCGCCAACAATCCCGAGGACGATTGTTAGCGATAAACTTCACGTTGGTTGACATTTGCGGTAAAGGCTCTTATCAGTCTATGCAAGTTCAGCCATTTACAACGACAGGAAATTTAGATTTTATAGTTTAAATTCACAGTTTGATGTCAATGTAGGGACACTTCTTTCTTCATCATATTTGACGTCCACTTAATTTCCCGCTTATTCTTCTTCTTCTTCTTCTTCTTTTCTTATTATGATTAGAATTCCTCCTCCTCCTTCATCCCATCCTCTTCTTCTCTTTTCGTCTCCTGCTTACTCCTAATTAGCGTCAACTTATATATCACCAGCTGAGCCCTTACTTATTTTCTTCTCCTCAATCGGGATAAAATATTTTGCCTTGACTAAAGAACATCACAAGTTTCCTCCCATAGTATGGGCTGGATTGGTTGCTCATTCGCGCAAACTGAAACATTCCCTAGGTGACGATCTTTTCCATGTATCTGGAAAAAAATCGAAATAGGTGCTGGCTTCCGACCGCAGAATAAAGGACCAAACTCTACGGCTTTCAAACAATAAAGTTTTATAATTTTTTAGGTTAGAACGTTTTATATTTAAAAATCCAAAAATACATCGCACGGACTCTG